GGGATACTTGGCGGCTGGTCACTGCAGGGACACATGGCGGGTGGGCACTGCAGGGATACTCGGTAGTTGGGCACTGTAGGAATACATTGAATACTTGGTGGTTGGGCATTTCAGACATACGTGGTGGTTGGGCACTGCAGGGATACTTAGTGGTTGGGCGCTGCTTGGGCGCTGCAGGGATACTCTGCGGTTGGGCACTGTAGGGATACTTGGCGGTTGGGCACTGCAGGGATACTCGGTGGTTGGTCACTAAAGTCAGCTTCCAATCAGGCGAGGACAACATCTACTTTAAAATCTAGCAACCCCACTGCGAGGGTGGGGAACAAACGAGAATGAAAAGGTAACTGAGATCATGATTTTCTTACGTACGAAAGCTGTATTAGTTGGTCTTGCGTGAGTTGGCATCACCCCACGTTGTTGCTCACAACAGACGTCTACTGCGGGAGTTTCCAATGATACGGTTGCCTCTCTTGGAAGGTCATTGTTGGAAGGGCTTCTCCATGCTTCACGAATACTGGCGGGGCCGCAGATGATTGGAACCTCCCATGCCTTAAAGAGGAGACTGCTCCGCCTAGGATTGCGGAGAGCAAGAGCTACCAGTCCCAACTCTTAGGCTGTGCCGGCGGATGATAAGTCAGCTGGACTTCGTGAGACGTCAACGGACTGCACAGGAAAAAGGTCGGACCTCTGAGTCCCGCGTCTGACACCCGCAGGTTTCCCTCAACATCACTCCCCGCAAATGCCGTTGTGGGCCCAGAGTTTGACAGGAGTGCAGCAATCAGAGGACAAATGGCAGTGCTAGAAAATGTAGACTGAATGGGAAACAGCCATGAAAACAGTAACAGTCATGGAAAAAAACAACAACAAACTCCCAGGAGCAGCAGCTGCACTGATCACACGACCTCTACTTGGGAGCTTTGCTTTGGCCCCTATGATCCCTCTACTGAACCCAATTTTCAAGGGGGGATTTAGGGTTATATAGGGGATATATTGGGATAATGGAAATTAAAATGGAAACTACATGGAGGGTTTAGGGTCCCCAAGATTATACCTTCTGTTGAGTAACTCTGGGATCTCATGCCCTTGTAAAAGAAGGCAGGCCGAATCTCTTTATGTGACCCCCTTGGGCCACACATAGGAATTCATAAAAATGTCTAGGAGTATATTGGGGTATGTGGGAATAGTGGCGAAGAACATGGAAACAAGTATATAAAAAGCACAGTTTGTGGTGCCCGGATTTGCCCTGGTGATCTTGAAGCTTGCTGCTACAGCCCCAGCTCCTCGGCAAGCTCGTTGCAAACTTCATCTTCGAAGCTTTTCCCCTTGGCCTTCTCAGCCTCACTATCACTCTGAGACCCATCTTGGTCTTCTTCGTCCTCTTCGGCTTTGGCGTTGTCTTCCGCCATCTCCAAAACACTCTTCCTAAGCTGCTTACGGAAAGATGCCGAGGGGGTTGAACCAAAAGCCCGGACCTGAAGCAGGCCCTTTACATGACTGTTTCCACAATTCGAGCACTTGATTTATAAAAGGGCCCATATTTAAAGAATGTTTTGGGTAAAATTAGCTGCCAAAGACTAGCTACAATTAGGTGCCTTTTCGTATGGGGAAAAGAGACCAGCTTTACCGATTTTTTAAGGGGACCAACCCTGAAAATCGAGTCATTCAATGCATTCCTATTCATTCTTTAAATTAGTAGAGGTCCAAGAGCCCCGATGACGCGGGAATGAATCCCCTTCTTTTTTAATTGAATTCCAGGAACCCACAGGTGGCAGCAGGTTAACAGCAACCAAGGTTCTGCCCGCCAAACTCGTAGTCCAGCTGCATCTTCTCAATGTTGCATTTCACAATTTTCTCCTCGATGGTATCCTTGCACCGACTGCACTTGAAGATGAAGGTCTTGTCAGAAAGAAGGGTTACCAGAGCAACCGGCAAAGGCAGTCGTAAGAACAAAACTTCGCGGTAGAGGTGCAATCTAATTGCTCTGCTTCTCTTGTTGCCCGCTGATCCACACCCCCCAATGATAAGTATTCCAGCCACTGCTGTATAATGGTACTGCACTGGGAGTTCCTCTCAGTGAAGGGCCGGGGTGCTTACTACCAGTTTTAGAGGAAGGTGATTACTGCGGTTCTTCTGGTGCAAGTTTGTAGACTACGACTTTATCAAAGGGCAGAGCTCAGGATCTTTTGCAGGTTTAGGGTTTAGGGTCTTACTTGTTCTTTGACGGTGTGTTAACCACGTTCAATCGCAATACCACCCAAATTGATTGGATACTATGACCTCTAAATCTTGAAGCCTAAGCTAGGCCCTGAATCTGGAATCCTAAACTGTGTGCGCCTGCAGCTATACACGATCGTACTATTACCATGTTTTTTTGTTGTTGATGTTGTTGATGTTGTTGTTGCTGCTGTTGTTGTTGGGAGATCTGGGTGTTGCCAAGGTGCCCTGGCCGTCATGTAGGTAACAGTAACTGGTCGAGTTTGACCCAGTCTGTGTGCTCGGTCTTCCGCCTGCCGATTGTCCTGTGGATTCCATGACAGGTCCATAAGAACCACTCGGTCTGCCGCGGTCAGGTTCAAGCCAGTGCCCCCGGCCTGCACAATTAGGGTAATGTAGGGGCCTGAATGGTTACAAGTGATTACAATATCACTTTGATATCTATTTTGGTACGCTATAATATTATTGAAAACCATTTCTATGTTAGGGTCAAATGTCTGGATGGAGGCTGAGCGGGAACTATCACTTACTTCCTGTGTTCGAATCTTAGCCCCGTCCTTCAGAGAAGAGATGATCACATCCACCCCGGAGCCCTCCTTCTGAAAGCTGTCTACCATGGTCTGCCGGTCGCCGATTTTGGTACCGCCATCGACACGAACAAATTCCATGCCCTGTGCCTGCCGAACTGGTAAGGAGGCGTGTGGCAGTTGCAGCAACTGATGGAAAGGACTACTTCAAGTTATGCAACTGCAGTGCTCATATGAACTGCTACCTCGCAATACAAGCATGGCCTCGAGGGCACTCCCAATGATGTCCAGGAACATGGTGAACTGGGAGAACACCAATGTCTTGCGCTTAGCCTCACGCTGACCTCACCAGGACTAATCACTGTGCAGAAGGCCGAGGAGCTATCAAACACAAACTAAGTACACATATCCCCAATAATGGAAAATGAAATGGAAAGTGGGATTATGTAGGTGTGTAAGAGGGAGTTGGGTTTCCCAAAATAAGGGGTACCCTTTTAAGGGTCCTAATGAGGACTATAGTATTTTAGGAAACCATCATACCAAGGGAAACTAGCAACCTCGATTGAAACACAAAATGTCTAGTGTGAGGTGCCGATACTGTGAAAAGATATGGTGAGCAGATCAGCAGGAATCATTTTTTGACATGTATTCAATTTGTTCTTGGCATCCAGTTAGTTTTGTTGCTTGCTGTTTAGTGAGCACATACAATACTCCGGCTGGGGGGGGGGGTTGATGAGAGGTCCCTTGCTCACGTCTGAATATTCGAAGGTTTCCTCAAAAAATAACAAGGATAACCGCATTTTGGTGTCTATATTGGGGCCCCCCTAGTTTTGGGAAACTATCACTTAGTACTAGATGTAATAATGGTAGTGGTGCCCCAATCGTTGCCGGCACAATGGCACCCTTCAGCTTGACACCGAGAGGCTTTCCAAGATCTTGAAGAGCTCCTGAATCTTTCCAGAGTTCATGATGTTGTCCATGGTGATGCTGCACTTCTTTGGGTCAATGCCACAACCAGCAAGCTTGCCCTGCAGGTTATGCTCCCGAACCTGCTGCACCAGCTCATAGTCGCTCATGTCTTTGACAAAGTCCAAGCACTTCTCGAAACTGACTTTTGCAAAGTCGTCGCGTACTGTCCTCAGGAGCTTCGTGACGTTGGTGTAATCAGCCTCAGACAGCCTAGCTTGCATTAGCAGCGGGTGATTGCAAAGTCGTCGCAGCCGTGCAAAGAGATGCCTGACGAACTTCATCCTGGTAGCTTTGGACTTTCGCAGCTTCTTGGAGTCCTCTTTGGCTTTGCGGAGCTGCTCCTGATACAGCTTCGCCTGGTTCGCTGTCAGCTGGCAGCGCAGCGGCTGGCATGTCTTCACCGGCAAGTCGGACATGACGTTGCGCTTCAGCCTTCTGAGCATGAATGGGGCAGCCCGTGCTTGAAGCGTCCGCAAGGACTGGCGCTCGACTACCTGCTCCAGCTCCTTGATCATCTGCTGGGTCTTGCCGACGCCCGGCTGCAGCAGCAGCTTCAGGAGGTTCCCCAGCTCCTGAAGATTGTTGTGCACAGGGGTGCCGGTGAGGAGTATGCGGCGCTTTGCCTGAAGGTGCTGCGTCACATTCCGGAAGGCCGTCGTCTTCTCGTTCCTCATGGAGTGTGCTTCATCGCAGAGCACACATTCAAAGTGGAACCTTTTGAAGAAGTTGTGTTGGTCGTCTTTGTTACGCAGGATGGCAGCAGTAGTGAGAACAACGGCCGTTTGTCCTCTCGTCCAGTTCTCGTTAATTTCCGCTGCCAGGTGTGCCCGCTCATCAGCGTTGGACGAGTGATATCGAAAAACCTGGAAATGGGGGCACCACAAGCTGCACTCACGCTCCCAGTTTTCCAGGACCGTCGCCGGCACGACTACCAGCGATGGTCGCTGCTTTGCACGTGCCTGCTTGTCACTGAGCACTGTGGGCAGTAGATCCAGGAATACTAGTGCCTGCGCGGTCTTACCCAAGCCCATTTCATCTGCAAGAATGCCACCGCAGCCAAGTTTGGCAAGTGTGAGCAGGTACCGCACCCCCACTCTCTGGTAGCCTTTGAGTTTTGCATAGCCGGGCGATGCTGCCTCGAACTGTTCTTCACTGGGATCTTTCTGCCAGTGATGCTGCCACTGCGAAACACGGCCACGCTTGATAGACCGTGTCACTTGGCTCTTTCTTTTGCCGTCCGGGCCTCCCAAGGCTTCGATCACGGCCTGCTTTGCAGAATCAGAGAAAGCAGTGAGCTTCTGGCAAGAGGACTGTCGCATTGGACGCGGGCTCCGACTACGGGACCTCTCCCGCTTCTGCGCCAGGGCCCGGCCGGGCGCCTCCTGTGCCCTCTGTGCCAGCGGCGTTGTCTGAGGCGGGTCTCTGAGCTGATCAGGTTCCAGCAGCAGATTGATGGCTGCTTCTGTGTCCCCGGATGCCCTCTGCAATGCCCTTGTGGCTGCCTCCCTGGTGAAGCCCATGGATTCAATTGCTTGCAACCCCTCTGCTGGCATTTCGGGTGCTTCGGATTCGGCGGTCAGCATATCAATGGCTTCCTGCGTGTCGCCCTTCGTAGATCGAAGGGCCTCAGCTGCCATACCTGGATCGAAGCCCATTTGAACTAGCCGCAGGACTTCCTTGGACTGTTGTGGATTGTCTTCCACACTTTCAGCCCTTGAGGAGCCAGTCTCGTCCTCGCTTTCAAGCAACGACATCGTCATGGCACTCATGCTGTAGACTCGTTTGAGTGTGCATCTGTCACCGAGTTGGCTAGCTACCTGCTGATGTGCACAAGTTAAGTTTCTGTTCTGTCAGGTTCCTTCGAATATGATTCTAGACTTTTTACTAAACCGAAATACCATCTGGGAACAACATCCATACACTTGCTGAGAGCGGCAATAGAATTAGAAGTAACTTGGGCGTGCAGCACGAAAGCTGGCACTTGGTCTGATTTCTGTCTTGAACCAAAGCTGAGAGGGGTGCCAAAAATCTAACCTGTAGCCATGCACTGCATCTGTACAAGGTTTGGCCGGGCTCCAGAATTAACGTCGCTGCTGGCTCTTAGCACTTTTGACGAACCCTACCTCTCAGAAGCCCGGGTCTCGCACGTGTGGGGCCGATATCCTTCTTACGCAAGCGGCAGTACCGCGCGATGCGGTGCCTCAGACAGCTGCGGCACAAGTGCATTGAGGCCTGGCATGCGCAGACTCACGTGAACGGTGCCGTGCCCTGATGTACCCTGCTTGGCAATTCCCACAAAACAGATATTCTATAGTCTATTCTCCAAGTTTGGGAAACCCCACTTTGATCCGAAGCCTCTTGACGAATCGCCCTCAGCTCCGGGCACTGCGTACACCAAAGTCTTAGGGCTCGCCTTTCCGGTGTGGATGGCGACCTTTCGAAAGCTTCGCTGGCAAAGGCGGAGCTTGATGCAGAGAGTTTGGTCAAAGTAGGGAGTCCTTGAGCGCTGCAGGGGAATTGTGCGGGTCCGCGTTAAGCATTCAATGGGAAAACTTATTTGAGGCACCACACAGGCTCGTACATCTCACATACGGTCACCAATAGCCAACATTCGCTGCTTTGAGATCAGATGCTGCCTGCTCTGGGTTTCCTAAAATTAAGGGTACCTTTAAGGAGCTTCCCGCAAGGGGTCTTCCCGGACCTTCCCCGTAAAAAGGGTTATGGGGATATATACGTCCGCACTCCGCGTTCTCAGCCGCCACCCCCCCGCCCCCCGCAAATGGGTAGCGATCCGTATACAACTCTATCAAACCTTCAGAAACCCTCTTGAAACCCCTTCAGAAAATCTCTTGAGACGTCTTAACACCTGCTATTAAATGCAAACCTTCTTTGAACCTTTTAGAACCCCTCTATAAACACTACAAGCTTCTATAAACTTAATCTACATCTAAACCTCTCAACCAACCACCAAACCCAGACCACAGGACCACCGGACCACAGGTTCACAGGTGGGGGGGGGGAGTTCAGTCATATTTTATATCATCATGGACATCATGGACCATTGGGGGGGGGTCGCCTGAATGCTGACGCATACATATGGGGGATATATCGGGGTTGTATAGTGGGATATAGATAGGGTATAGGGTTTCTATAGTACCATGTGGTGGGGAGTCCCCATAATAAGGATTGAAATATTTGGGCGTCTATATTTCTGTCCCCCTTGTTTTGGAAGACTACCAAACACTCTCGAATGTGCCCTTCCATGGACTTGGGATAAACATTTGAACCTGACCAGGTATCAACAAAAGTTGACCTCAAGTCATATTCCAGCCTGGGGGACCCCAGCATAGACCCCAAGTATACTGGAATCCTTCTTGTAGGGGCCCCCATTTTTTTTAGCAGCCTGCATTTGTCTAGCTGTATAAAGAGCGCTCGAAGTCTCACACAGGCGTGCTAGGTGCAATCAGCATGTATCTGACCTTGTTGAACACGTCTGAGATGTCCACCGCATCCTTACACACAGGACTTGCACTCTCATGTCAGACAAACCAAACCATGCCCCCTGCAGCTTAGTACACTTTATTGCAGAAGTTTCAGACCTGAACCCCAAACCCTGAACCCGAAACCCTAAACCCTCAACCCACAAAGTTCGTCGGGGCTCTTGAATCTTCCGGCAGATTGCACCCTGGATCTCCAGATCGCTCTGCGCTGCCAGGTCCTCCGGCTTCATCTTCGGTGTTCTCAAAGAGGGCTTAGGGTTTAGGGTATAGGGTTTAGGGCGTACCCTTGGCCCTATAGGGATGTATATAGATTGAGAGTAGACAGCTATACTTCTAGGTCATCCTATAGCAATTCAATCGTTTTAAAGCATGATGAAGCCCCATGCGGGAATTTGAATCCTTTCTTTAGGGAGCCCTTGCATCAAGCATCCTGCCTTCAGGGATAGACTTAGATGCGACCCAAATCTCTGCACATAAATCCTCTTGGACACAGAAGCCGCATCAGTCTTCTAAAAGGAAACCTTTCAACCCCAAGCCCCAAAATTTGGAACCCTGCATCCGGCATTTGTCATGTGATACTTATGAGGCATATGGGTCATCATTGCTCATTTTGCCGTTGAGGACGTTCCACTTCGTCCTCCACTGCGTGGCCGTTACCTTTCTGGAGGCCTGCGGGCTCGATTTTGAGATAGGTGCCACAGAACTGCCCAGTCAGAAGCCTAAGGCCTTGACACCAAGACTTGCATGGGTAAAAGGGACAGCGATATGAATAGTAACCAGCAATGTAATACTAATTAAAGCGGGGGAGAGGAGGAGGAGGAGGAGGAGAGGTGAGGCGAAAGGAGAGGAGAGGCCAGAGGAAAGGAGAGGAGATGAGAGAGGAGGGCAGAGGGGAGAGGAGAGAGATTTGGAGCACCCAGGCCTGGGCAACTCCCAAAGCCAAAAAGAGTTGTGCTTTTCCGGGGATGTCCAGAAATTGGAGAACCCTTATCCGACTGTTATAGGGAGGAGGCAGTACCCAAATCATAACAGTAGTTGGAGAACTGCAATTGTAATACTCTTGATAACTCTAATAATAATCTTAAAGGTCGTAGCAACCATAATCTCTTCCTCTTCCCTTGTTCGTACTCTTGCAACTGCTGTAATCATTAAGGTGATCCGCCTGGATTTCCTGCTTGTTGCGTCGGAGCCCAGTCATAAAAGGAGATCATCCGCCGCAGCCATGTGCAATTACATTCTGTGATCAGGGGCTAAAATATGACTGCCCTATACCCTTTTATAGCCCTAAACCTGTGATCAGCCGTAATCTGGGTTTATGGCCTGCTACTTCTTGAAATGGGGTTTGCATGCAGGCCCTTGTTACCAACGTGCTCTAACTCATGGATCTGAAGCTCATGCAGGCAGCACGCTTGACAAAGCCTGCACGCAAACTTTGCAGGTCAAAGTTCCGGACTATTACTAGCATGAACTGGTCGTCGCGCGATCATGCGCGGGAATACGCAAGAGCCAGCTGGGAAGCGCGGATGAGCAAGGCAGGGCCCAATCAAACTGCATCTGCGACGGGAGAAGTGGCGAATGCGTCTTATCCTAACGTCTACTGGTTCATTGATATTGGGGATGTTTTTATAATGGTGCCTAGGAGCTTTTGAACGTGAAAGGATTGGACAGCAGTTCACAAGCTGAGCTGCTTGCTCTGTCCAAGCACCTTCGCAGGGCCTGCGACTCCAGCTTGAGAACCTCAGGGTTTAGGGCTTAATACCACCTCACTCCCCAGGATCTTAAGCATTCTCTCTCGCAGCCCAGATATACTGGGGTAAACATTGACTATTTGGACTGCTCGAAGCGTGAGCCCCAAGTCCCACTCCGACTTCACTAAATGATGCTTCTCACTCTCCCCCTTTCAAAGGCACAGTCCATAGTGGCTCGTTCGCAAACGTAGCAGACTACCTGGACTATAGGGCCTGCCTGTACGCCACAAAAATCTGATCCCTGCTTTTGTTGGGAGATTTGGGAGGACCCCACGAAGAGAGACACATGGCTACATGACATGTTTTGAGAAACTTCCACGTTGAGATTCAGGGCTCCCGTAGGGTAGATTCCTGAGCGGCCCTTAGACAGGACAGACTGCCAGACCAGGGTTCTGCAGAAGCATGTCATCCAACCCCCCTAATACTAAAAAGCCCCTACCCCCCTCATCTTAACTATTAGCAGGTCTAGGCCTTGTGGGATCTACCTACCTGTTTCAGCGCCGTGCACAAGCCTAGGAGCGATGAATCAAGAATTCAACCAATTTGTAGCTTCTCCTTATACGAGAACCAAATCCAGTTCGGGGACCACGCCATCTCCTCCCTTTAAACCCAAAAACCCTACACCCTATGCATCTCTGTAACCCCTGAACCCCCCAGGCCCTATGACCTAAACCTTGAACCCTAACCGAATCACACGCCCCTCAGCTGGCCTCATGCTCCTTGCGCAACGCCTGGAGCTGCCTGGCAACAAATCTCCCCAAAATGCTCAATTGAGTACGTTTTTTTTGGTGGCTGAACCTAGCAAGATTATATTCCTTGTATGAAATACTATACCCCAAAGGGAGGATAGAATCTTACTCTATGATTGGTACCATAGTATCCCCAAATAAATTACTACCCAATTGATGACAGTAGATATGAAGGCAGTTTTCATTTGAGGTGGTGCGGGTCGCCTTGTTAGATCCAAGGGGGTGTCTTCAAGAGCAACCCAGGAACTTGGGGGAGAGGGGCTGGGACGAAAGCTAGAGCAAGATCTTACTGGCAGAATGCAGATGTGCACTCTCTCCATTTTGTACTAGTGGGAATGAGGAAGACTACAGGGCACAAACTTGTATTGACACCAAATTGTGTGGCACTCAAAAAGACTGCATTGTAAATGTAGGCGTCTGTAGTATTTGCATGGTACCTACACCATCTAAACTAGTGCTCTCCAAGAGTCTATTACTCTGGTAGATGCAGCATGTGCTTATGCTGAAGCTCAATGGGGGCTTGGACGAAGGCCACGAAGCTTGAACGAAACTTGTCCAGGGTTCATGCAATGGGCCGAGCATACACTTTCAACCCTGTGGAGGCACTGGTAACGTGTTCTTTCAAACCGCTTATCCGTTCTTTTAAAAAGACTAGGTGTTCTTTACGTGTTCTTTTTGGCGATCAGATGCGGTGTTCTTTATGTGTTCTTGAGGTACCCTTTAAGGGTTAGAATACGACCCCCCCCCGTCCCACACACGAATCCTTCCCTGC